TTTTATATCATTTGTATTGACTCCTTCCTTCTCATTGATGCCTATTAGTCTCACATTGTTCATCTTTGCATCATCTTGCAGGTATTGAATTATTTTTTCCTGCATCCTACTTGTTTTAAAGGATCGTTTCTTACTTTTTCACTAGCTGCAATGGTGTCTTTCAGGTCAGAATGTCTATTTTCACTTTTCCTCAAACGGTTTTGCCAGCTTGTGATTGAGGTTTTAATTTCCTGTATATCACTTTGAACCTGTTTCATACATTCTATTTCTTTCCTAAATTGCTTATTCAGGGGTTCCATCATTTTTATATTCTTCTCTATTTTTTATCAGTATATTCTTTAGAAGCACTTAGTACTTCTTTGATTATAGTTATCACTAAATTTTTTAGTTCCAATATTATTTCTGATCTGATTTCTTCTATACCTTTCTGCAGTTGTTTCTTTACTGTCAAAGCTATTATTTCAGAGATATCTGGCATGTGATTTCCAGTTTTCTCAGTGCTAGTGTCTTCTGCATTTGTACTGTGTGGACTTGGGACTTGAGACTGCATTTTGTTCCTTCTCTTTGTTATTTTGTATACTACTGTCTTCTGACCTTTGGTAGAGAGCTTAGATAGAGTTATTACCTTAGAATCAGGTCTGGATCTATGAAGTTCGGATTCCTCCAGGTGAGTGTTGTTTGGATCTGGCTGCTGTGCTCCACTTCTTTCTGCTGCAGCCATTGGAGTTGAACCCTTTGTGTCTCTCTGGCAAGATGTTCTGCTCCTGAATCAGCTGGGTGGGTCTTGCCTCTAGTCTCTTTGCAGGGAGTTCTGCTGAAGGGTTCCTTTCTGGGCCTGCACTCTTGGTCGAATAAAGATCTGTGGGTCCTGGGTTGTCTCACTCACTCGCCGGGCCTGCGCTCTGGGTCTTTCAGGATCCCGCAGCCCCAGGTTGTCTCATTGCTATGCAATTCATGCTGTCTTGAGCTCACTTTATAGCCCAGGTTGGTCTCAAATTCCCAAGTTTTCCTGCCTCAGTCTCCTAAGTGCCAGGTATATGCCACCATGTTCAGCTTTATATGTTTTGTATGTTCTTTTGTTTAACATTTGGTTTTCAATTTCTTTCTTTCTTTCTTTTTTTTTTTTTTTTCAGAACCAGGGATTGAACTCTGGCCCTTTTGCTTGCCAGGGAAGCGCTTATTCCACTGAGCCATCTCCCTGGTCCAAAGCATTGCTTTTTTTTTTTTTTTTTTTTTTTTTTTTTTTTGTGGAACCGGGGATTGAACTCAGACCTTTGTGCTTGCCAGGGAAGCACTTATTCCACTGAGCCATCTCCCCAATCCCCTGGTTTTCAATTTCTATATGTGATAATTAACTTTATAAGGTCTTACAAGTTAATGAACCTGAAAAAATAAGGTGATTGAGGAAAAGGGGAAAAGAATTAAAATGATCACATACATTTCCCAATTCACTGTGTGAATGTAATCATTTTGTACTTCATATATGTACTAATAAAATTAAAAAATTCAAAAAGAATATCTAGGGATATAGGTCAGTGCAAAGGGCTAAGTTCCATCTCCTGTACCATATAAATTAACATGCAGACAAAGAAGAAAAACTAGTGGAAGAAGATTTATCTCTTGATAACAGGATTCACTGAGTATAGTTGTCAGTAGGTGAGTTATTTAGGCAGGATGAGATGCATTGCAGCAATATGCCATCTTGGTTGATCAATCATCCTACTTTCTGTAGGACAGAGGGAATTTCCTAGCATGTGAGACTATCAGTGCTAAGACTGATAGCCAGAAATTGGGACAAGTGAGCTGCTCTGATGTCAGCTTTCCATAGTCATCTTGAGGCTGTGGCACTTAAGGAAAGGAGTTTGGGTAGATGACCAAACAGGAGGAGAGCTGAAAAGTTCTCATCAGGAGGCACTTGAAATCAGAGCAGCAAATCCAGGGCAGTTGTACTAGGTGGTGCAAAGGGGGGCCCAGCCTGCAATGGAGGAACAAGCTGTGAGAGCCCTGTGTGGACTGTGGAGCCACTGAGCATGATGTGTGGCCCTGTGCTGTTTATTTATCCCCTTGGTGACGATAAGTAGGTTATTGATCCATGTGTTCAGTCCCTTGATTATTTTTCTCATTGGTGAGAAAATGTATCCAATGCCCACAGGTAAAGAGGAGAGATTTATAAAGGACCATTTTGTATCTGTATATACGAGATAGCTAGGATAGATATAGAGCTACTTTCTCTTCAATGAGAAGAAATATTTGTACTAATAGTGTTTGGACAGGATATCACGTCTGCATCCTGTACTATGAATAACCACTACGAAGACAATAATATGCAATGTATTAATTATTGAAACTGCCCTACTAATCGGTTTCAAAACTGTCTCAATGCTATTTGTTTCTCAATAAAAATAATTAAAAAAAGAGGAGAGATTTGTTGTAGTTCAGTTTACAGAAGTTTCAGTTCACGGCTGGCTCTGTGATAAGGTGGCATGGCAGAAGGGCATCATAGAGGAAAAAATAGCTCATGGTGAGAAGGCAGGAGGGCAGAAAAGCTGTGAAATATTGAAAGGGAGTGACTAGTTGCAAGTGAAAAGAATAGCCCTGCTTCTGTCCTGGCTATGCTTCCTTGGCGTGGGTCATGCTCACACTCAGGGTGTGGCATCCATATTCTTAGCATTGAACCATCAATCAATTCCAGCATCACATCCTTAATCCCAGGATCTCATACTCTAGATTGAGCCACCTCTGAAAATCCCAATCTATGACCACATGAAGCTTTGGGGGACATCTAGACATAAACCATCCCAGCTGCTCAGACAATCAGAAATCTATTAAATGCTGTTATCACTGTTGTTACTAAGAAAATTACAAGAAGGCATCAGATAGAAAGTTCTGGGCAGGAATAATGGAGAAAATTGGAAGAGAAGGAATATGAGTAAGAAGAGACCGGGTATCACGCCTTGATAACTTCTCACCTTTACCTGCCTGTGTAGTCTCATGTGCAAAATAGGAAAATTAAATTGAGTAATATGCATGACCTTACTTGGCCAGAAGGTAATAGCACCAGGAATGACTCTCAAAACGGTGGTAAAATTTAATTTATGTTAACTTAGATTGAAGGAGGTAAATATTTATCACAGGACCCAAAATGCAGTGACAAGATAAAGGAAAAATGAACTCGAAATTGGCTAATTTTAAATCTATAAAAGAAGAGAATTAAAAAAAAATGAAAGAAGACAAGACATGCACTGAACATGCCAAGAAGAGACTGTGTTGAATCCATGGCTGGGTCAGTATGTAGAAGGGATCTTTATAGCATTTACAACAATCTATTTTTACACTGAGAAAGAACAATAACCTTTGCACTAACAGAGTTTTCTTGTCAGTGTTTTCTGCAGGGCTGTCTTTACTTCTTTGTTCCTCAGGCTGTAGATCAGGGGGTTGAGCATGGGGATCACGGTGGTGTAGAACACAGAAGCCACATTCTCCTTGGCCAGCGAACTAGCTGTGGAAGGTTTTAAGTACATGAATGCAGTTGATCCATAGAACAGCCCCACAGCTGCAAGATGTGAGCTGCAGGTGCTGAAGGCTTTGGACCTTCCCTCAGTGGAGCTGATGCGGAGGATGCTGGACAGGATGAAGGCGTAGGAAACAAGGACCATTAAACTGGTAACTATTATGTTGAATCCAGCTAAGAAGAAGACTGCCATCTCCACATCATAGGTACTAGAGCAAGAGAGCTTCATGAGAGGGAGGATGTCACAGAAGTAGTGGCTGATGAGGTGCTTACAATAGCTCAGTTTTAACATGAGGCCAGTCTCCACTGTGGAGTCAAAGAACCCTATGATGTAGACCAGAGCCACCATAAGGGAGCAGAGAGTATGGGACATGATGATATTGTAAAGCAAAGGGTAGCAGATGGCCACATATCTGTCGTAGGCCATCACTGTGAGCATGTAACACTCAGCAATGACAAAAACAAGGAAGAAGTAGAGCTGAGACATGCACCCCCCATAGGAGATGACATTGTTCAGGGATACAAAGTTGACCAGCATTTTAGGGGTGATGACAGAAGAGTAACAGAGGTCTACGAGTGACAGGTTGCTGAGGAAGAAGTACATGGGTGTGTGAAGTTGCCGGTTAAGATATATCAGGGTGATCATGCCCAGGTTCCCCACCATGGTGACCATGTAGATCCCCAGGAAGAGAAGCAGTAAAGGCATCTGGAGCTCTGACCTGTTAGTTAATCCTCCAAGAATGAACTCTGTCACTGTCGAGTGATTTTCCACAGCCATTCTGTCTCAGTGGGAGTCCTGTGGGAACAGTGAAAAGCATCTTTGTACTGCTCAGGCAGCTGCTTCTCTGCATTTGGGGCTACAGAGCCATCCTGCTAGGGTGTTCATGACTGGTGTGTCTTTGCCCAACTCCTGATTTTCACTGTGGAGGGCCAGTCCATGAGAGTTTTGTTCTTAAAGATGAGAATCTGGATCTCATACTCATTTATTGTTTCTTACATATGTTAGCAGCTTGGTTCTCAGTGGGTTGCTCTAAGCCAGCAGCATTTGGACCTTGTTATGGATGTAAATTCTAGGCCTCACTTCTATGATGGGGCTGAGTATTCTGCAGTGTATAAATTTATTCCAGCATACTGGTCCCTACCAAAGTTTGAGGGTATCTACCCTCTTGCTCATAAATACTGTATTTTATAATTTGGAGTCAGAAATGGAATTTCACTGTCATCTATGCAATTCCTAAATTCAGAACATGAATATATGAATATCTTAAATTGATTCAGGATCAGGTTCACATTGTAGTGTACACTATATTGTTGAATGAAAAATCTATCTTTATGTCTGAGAGAGAAAGAAACTAGCAATATAACTTCCAAGGTGAGTGTATAAGAACACGGGAAAATGTATATGTAACAATTTTATTTCAAATACTTGATCCTGTTACATGGTGAGTTGTCATGAAGTGTGGCATTTCTTCTTAATTATTCACTATGTGTGGCTCTAGGGCAGAGGATCTCATTATTGCCCATATATTGTAATGACCAAAAATATTTAGAAAGAATGGTATTAGTGGCTGAATTATACCACAAATGTTATGATTTAATTGAACTGTGGTTCCTCTGAGGCACTGGCACATAATGTGGCCCACAGTCTGTCTTCCATAGCTAATAATAATTATTATTTTTTTCAAAAATTCTCTTATTCATTTATTTGGTATAGGGTCTTGCTACACAGCTTGGACTCTTAGTGATCCTCCTGTCTCAACATCCCCAGCACTTGGATTATAGGTGTGTGTCACCATGCCTGCTTTTGGTGGCCAGCATGGCACGCCCGGGGTTCCAGGACCAGCCTGGCATGAGTTACTGGGGATTGAACCTGAGTCCTTGTGTATGCCAGGCAGGGGCTTTGACTGCTGAGCTATGTCCCCAGCACCTCCATAGTTAATTGTGATTATTATTGTTTTCAGATCATGATATGAAGCATAGCACTGTTACATGCTTTACATGAGATCATCATTGCTAGATGCTATCTTTTGTGAGCATACAGATACTGTCGACAGAATTTATGTCTTTGCCAATTAACTTAATTCTCACTATTTGGCTTCCCAATATAATTATGTCCTAAAGGTTTTAGTTTTGGTGTAAAATGTGCTTAATGAAGGCTTTTTAAAAATCATTTAATATTAATGACTCTCACACAGACACTAAATGACTTACCAAACTTAATTATTGTTATCGCTTATTGTTTTGGACAATCTTTGTATATCCTTTTGTCTTAATATAGTAAAATTAATTTACTCATTATCAGAGATATGCATAACATCTTATTGCAAGTCTCAGATACATTTTTCAAATTATAGGCACCATCCGTGCATTGTAACTACTAGAAATGCAAGTAAGTAAAAGGTGCAAATGACTCCATAAAACAAAACAAGAAAGCAAGCATTTTTCTGCTACTGGGAGCATAACACTGGTTATGAATATGCTCCTAGGGTTTTTGTATGCATATACGCATTTACATGTGCATAAATATATGTATTCATATAAAGACAATTTGAAGCTTGTTTTTAAATATGTATAAATATTTATGCATTTTTACAGATCATTCACAATGTTTTCACACAGCATTGAAAATGTCATTGTCTCACAATTCCTTTAGTAACAGTGTGTAGTCTTGTACTCATTTTTTTTTAGAACAAAAAAGCCTTATAGTCCTTCAGATGTGATCAGAGAAAAAGTCATTGTGCTATAAACATTTTATGTTATTTTATTTTATGATAGCTAGAATCACAGGACTATGATTTTTTGAATACCATTTTAGCTTATTAAAAAGGAATGAATTAGTTTTTATTTATTTTTTTTGTGGCTGGCTCAGCCCGCCTGGGGGTGGGGTTGGTGTGGCATGTGCTGTCAAGTGCTTGCCTAAGCTTGTCTAAACTTGTGCTTGCCTAAGCTTGTCTAAACTTACCTTAGCAGGTGCTGTAGAATGCTGAGCTACCTTGCTGGCCCCATAGTTTTTAAATAAAATATTTGATTAAGGATGGAAGAGAAAAGGAAAATAATGCAAGTTAGTTATGGCATTAGTGTTTCTTAGTTCATTGAAAGGGAAGGTTTGTGCTATGTCATTTGGAGAATTTTTAATGTGCATATCTTGTACTCTGAATAACTATTTTAAAGGTAACTATGTGGAACATATTAACTATTATTATTCTCCTATTATTTTGTTTTGCCATTTTTCCATGAAAGAAGAGAAGAAAATCTTACATGCTTCACTTTGAGTCAACCTCTGCCTCTAAAATGACAAGAAAGGCTGCAACGACAGCCAACATTTTGACCCTAGCCTTTCAAGGTCAGTGAGGACTCAGGACATAGGTGAACCTGTACTCTAACATTCTCTAACTCAGTGGAGTCTCAAATTTTCTGATTAAGGAGATTATGGGGCCACAGAGGAAAGTAATTGATGATGTAGAATGTGCCTAAGGAGAGTCACCTAGAGAGAAAACACTCTCTCAGGCTTCACAGAGAGCAAATTCATCAAGCAATGGCCATGACTCATCCACGTGGCTGACACGGACAAAAGATCTGCAAACTCCTGTACAGAGTTTCAGGGTGAGTCCTGAGGGGATTTGACTGACCTTGTCAGATACAAAAGTTACATTTCTTGTTATATAGGTCTTGCTTTTTCTTGGTCTTAACCATCCAGCAGAAAAGTATAAAAAAGTGGTACAAAAAGTAAAGCCACATTAATATGCTGAACTGTAAAAAGCTCAAATCATCAACTTCTGACACTGCTAGTCTTGCAGATAATCCACTACTATTATAGACTACTGGACTATATTGGATTATTTTGCTGAATCATACACCTGCAGTGTATGAATGGCAATGGAATACACATCTCTGACAAAAGTAAACAAAAAGGGGATATAAATGGACCATTTTGTAGTGGAAAATATATCTGCATATACTAAATAGCATAAACATACAACTACTTTCTCTTAGTTTAATGAGAATAAAGTTTTGAACTAATAGTGTTTAGAGAAGATATCATGTCTGCATCTTGTGCTAGGAATAACTACTACAAAGACAACAATATGCAATGTATTAATTATTGTAAGTGTACTACTAACCTGTTTTGAAGCTATCTCATTGCTACTTCTTTCTCAATAAAATTATTAAAATATAAAAAATAAAATGAGAAGAAACAAAGAAAATCTACTGAGAATAAACATTGCCATAGATTAGAGTGTTTACAAGGAAGGGCAGAGTGAATGTCATTTACTGCCTGGGGTTCTGATGGGGACACTCTAATATAGAAGCCAAGCTAACAGGGATTTGATTTTTTACTCCCACAATCTACTAATACAATCTACACCAACATGAAGCACATGTTATAAGTATTACCTCTATTCTTACCAAGCCATCAGAGGTACTTGATTTTGCTGCAAATGAGAATATAGAATTTGGAGAGGAAGGTAAATAGAAGGTCATAAGTAGCTCACATTATAAACAAGAGTTCATAGAAGAAAGACTTTTCTCATACAATTGTGTTTTACATGTATAATTAAATACCTTTGCTGAGGTTTACTGGAACAGTCTTCTAGAAATGAAACCAAAATGCCCTTGGTTTCAATAACCAGAAATATAAGAAGCAAATAGACTTAAGTTTAGTCCAGAATGGACTCAAGGGGCCAGCATAGTCATTAAAAATGAGCCTCTCAAATCAGGATGTTGAGGGTCCTGTTTACCTGTGAACACACAGTGCACCTCTTGAGATGTAGTCACTCTGGAGACTGATCTTCACTCTGGAACAATTAATCTTGGTTTATACCTGCTCTGAGAATCCTCTTTTGTCTCCCATGTGGGTTAATTTTACTTACATAAGAAAAGCCATCATACAGTAATAGAAATTTAGAGTTTAATGAGAGGATTAGAATATGTTGGCACACAAAACTTCCATCATAATCACTATCCTCTTTTTCCTCCTTGTCACCATGATCATTGACACAGCCACTTAAATCATTATAATCAGCATCATCAGTTACTACCCTTGTGGTTGTTACTTTTGGTCATTCACCATCAAGCAGGACTGAAATGTCTTAAGGGTTTTGAAAGCACATGCAAAGCTTTTTACTAAAACAATCTATTTTTTTTTTTTTTGAGTAAAGGAATGCTAAGTTCAGAAGCAACCTTGAACTTGTCAGCTGCTGCTCCATCTGTAGGCAGTGTACAATGGTAAGCAGTGAGGATCACCAGCAGGTAGACTCTAAGTCTTCACTCACATACCCTCAATCACTAAGGAAGTTGTTCCTACAAATAAAAGAGAGTATCATTGTCAGGATGACAGGAGAAGGGAGAAAGCAAGGCAGTGGTATGGAAAGCAGATAAAGAATGTGTTCTGAGTAACATGGAATCACAGGCATGGTGATACCTGGTCTTCTGGCCTGTTGGTTCAGACACCCACAGCCAGACAGTTGCCCTCATCTTGGAAACCTACAATGACAAACTCATGACTTCACAAAAAATTAATTCAGACCTTTGGCTTTGTGCTATCTCCCAACAGACTCTTGTCACAGAAAAGGATCTGGAGGAGTGTTAGTCACTTCAGAACACACTTTGGCATCACAGCAATGAACTCTATGCAACTACTAGGTTGTGTGCAGATTAGGCATCCTCCACTCACACAGGCAACTGTCCAAACATTTCTGGTCAATCTGGTCCAAGAGAGGTAGAGACAGGACAGTTTCTTTTTAGCTGAGTGGCAACATCTGTGCTCCTTTCCAGTTG